GTATGTATGTATGTATGTATGTATGTATGATGTATGTATATGTATGTATGTGGATGTATGTTATGTTGTATGTATTATGTTATGTATGTAATGTATGTATGTATGTACTGTATTTATGTATGATAATGTATGTATCGTATGTATGTATGTATGTATGTAGTATGTAGTAGCGTATGTATGTATGTATGTATGTATGTATGTATGTATGTATGATATTATGTATGTATGTATGTATGTATGTATGTATGTATGGTATGTTATGTATGTATGTATGTATGTATGTATGTATGTATGTATGTATGTATGTATGTATGTATGTATGTATGTAATGTATGATGTATGTATGTATGTAATGTATGTATTGTATGTATGTATTATGTATGTATGTATGTATGCTATGTATGGTATGTATGTATGTATGTATGTATGTATGTATGTTATGTATGTATGTATGTATGTATGTATGTATTGTATGTATGTATGTATGTATGTACTGTATGTATGTATTATGTATGTATGTATGTATGTATGTATGTATGTGATGTATGATTTGTGGATGTTGGTGATGTCGATGTATGCGTGTGATGTTATGTATGTATGTATGTATGTATGTAGTTGTATGTATGTATGTAACGTCTACGAGTACACAGGTGCGATCAGGTTTTTATAAAGGGTCTGGAAGAGAAAATAAATGGCACTAATTCTGCTTCATTTGTTCTGCGTGTTTTAAAAGCTGCCGAAACCCAAGAACATTTTTAAAATTTGGGCATTCTGAAGCAGAGCCAGTTAATTTTGATTGTCCTAGAATGCAAAGATTTATCAGATCGGACCGCCCCGCGGCGACCCCTCCTTTGCCAATTTCTGATTTTATACGAATTTATATATATAGAGTAATCTTTATCAGAAAAACTAGCCCTAAAAAATTCGGTTGAATTTTTTTAGTGCACTTTGAATTTAAAGGGAGGGGGTGAGGGGGGGTCCGACCACCATCAAGTCGTTCGTGTTTGTGTGTATCTGTCTGTGTCTGAGTGGGTGACTAAGGTGTGTGTGTGGGGGGGAATGCATCCGTGTGTCAGTGTGTCTGTCTTTGTGTGAGGGTGCGTAGTGCGTCGGGTAGGCAGACAGGCTTGCAAATCGGCAGGCAGACACTCAGGCAGTCAGGCAGGCAGGCAGACAGGCAAACAAGCACACAGGCAAACATGCAAACGCACACACATGCATATAGGCAAGCTGGTCGGCAGGCAAACCCGCAGGTAAAGGATAGAAGGATAGACAAATAGCAAGACAGACCGAGAAACACAGATAAATGTATAATATACATATAGATACATAAAGATAGATAAATAAAAAACTGTCTGACTGTCTGTCTGTCGCTCTTATCTATCTATTTATCTATCTATCTATCATATCTATCTATCAATCTAATCTCTAATCTAATCTATCTATCTATCTATCTATTATCTATCTATCTATCTATTTCTATCTATCTATCGATCTTATCTATTCTATATATCTATCTATCTTATCTATCTTCTATTATCAAATCTATCGAGTTCTATCTATGATCTTTAGCTAGCTAATTCTAGCTATCTTATTCTAATCTCATCTCTATCCATCCATTCTATTATTTATTTTATTTTTTTAATTTATTCGTATTCTATCTAATTTTATCATATCTATCTAATCGTATCAATCTATCTCATCTCAATCTTATCATATCTTATCTATCTATCTATCTAATCTCTCTTTTCTCTCGCCGCTCTCTTTCTCTCTTCTCATCTCTTTCTCATCTTCTCTCTCTCTCTTTTCCTCTCTTATCTCTCTCTCCTCCCTCTCTGACTCTCGCCTCTCTCTCTTTCTCTTCTCTCGCTCTTCCTTCCTACTCTCTCCTCTCTCTCTCTATATATATATATCTATACTTATATATATATATAGAGAGAAGAGCCGGAGCATGATGAGAGAGAGAGAGGAGAGAGAAAGAGAGAGAGAGGGAGAGGAAGAGACGGAGAAAGACATTCTGAGAAAAGAGGCGAGAAGAGAGAGGAGAGAGAGAAAGAGAAGAGAGAGAGATAGAGGGAGGAAGGAAGAGAGAGAGAGAGGAATAGAGAGAGAGAGAGAGGAGAGAGACAGGGAGGAGAGAGAAGAGAGGAGAGACTAGATGACGAGAGAGAGAGAGATTCGAGAGAGAGAGAGGAGAGAGAGAGTTAGTGATAAGATAGCATAGCAGGTAGATACATACATACTACATAGATAGATAGATAGATAGAGAGATAGATAGATGATAAGATGATAGATAGATAGATAGATAAATAGGATAGATAAATAGTACATAGATAGATAGCATAGATAAATAGATAGAAAAATAGATAGATAGATAGATAGATAGATAGATAGATAGATAGACGCATAGATAGTTAGGTATGCAGGTAGGCAGATCGTTCGATCGATCGATCGCATAGCAGTAGATGAGATAGATAGATAAGCGAGAGAGAGAGAGAGAGAGAGAGAGAGAGAGCAGAGAGAGATAGAAAGAGATCCGAAAGAGAAGAGAGAGAGAGAGAGAGAGAGAGAGAGAGAGAGAAATATATAGAAAGGGGGAGAAGTGTCGAGACCGTTGAGAAGCAAAGAGACAAACAGTCAGAAAGAGAGACGAAATAAACAAGCAGCAATAGCTGTGATAGCAGTGTGATTAGGTAACTGTAATCATGTAGGTGACTGTGAACAGGACGACCACCCTGGTAGCGTGCAGGCGACGTTCCGCTATGCATGGCCACGTACAGTTCTATGTCGGTGACAACACCGCTAACGTTGAGCATGTATCCATCTTCAGGAATGGCGCAGACGCATCTCTCGGGGTTGGTCTTGTTTTAGAGAGCAAAGAATTCTGCTTAATGCAATACTATTAAATTATTATAGACTCGCAGGCAAAGTAGAATAATGTTGTCGTGAAATAGCACTATTTTCCCGTTTTTCCGTTGTACACTCTAGGTATTATTAGCTCTTGAAAATATCGATGTCGAGCAGCAGGAAGAACTCATATTTGACACTGACGTGATTACGGTAATAGGCGAATCAATGAAAACATTATGTTGTGCACGAACTGGCTACGTTTGGAATGAACATTAGTAAGCGGTGATTTATGCACGGTAACTCGAAGCACGTAACAGCAAAGTAGATAGTCGAATATCATGCCATTAGCGAATCATTCCCTGACATCAGGTGCAGACAATTTCGACGGACGATTCATATGTATAGTTGCTGTACACATAGCTTTCGTTAGACGCACGCGTCTGGAATAAAACTGAATTATTCTGTAAAATTACTAACATTTAATTAATTATTAAAAACATTTCTTTAATCATTTAGTTCTCCGTTGAGGATACACTCGAGCTTTTATGCAAAATTTTACCGAATTTTAATTCATTCTTATCTGATGGCTAACACTAGGTGTCACCTCTGTTCATACTTATTTCTCCATATAACGATGCATGTGAACTTTCAGAACTTTTAGTTATCGGCCGCGTATATGTGTAAGTGACACATGGCTGACGTCACTGATGATGTCAGAGACATGATACAACCAGAATTTTCAAGGTATTCACTATGCCAGTAGCCACCAGCATCAATTTTTCTACGGTTGTCATCTGCCAGTGATAGCTGAAATTGCCGCGCAGTCGAAAATAGCATTTACATCTCGTTACATAGCGTTACAGGTTAGTTGACACGTAGCTTAATGACGTCATGCAGTACGCACCGTTCCCGCGTTTCGCATGAAATTGCGATGGTAACCTCTAAATTTCTCACAATTTTTCAAGGTGCACAGAACATTTTACTAAGTTAGTGGTTTCAATTAGTCATGGATATGTCGCAGTAAGGACTAACGGTAGATGTTTCACATACGTTTACCCATTTTGCACACAGGCGCTCGATCATTGTGAAAAATAGACAACGATTTCTCTGTTTCGATTTCTGCCACAGTAGCCGATGTATAAATGTATATTTCTCTGTCATTACAACTCGGAATAATTTAATTTTACACTCGTTTTAATGGTAGCACATTGCTGTAAAAATGCGTCAGGGTTTGATATTAAGGGCCGTCTTTTATGAGTTATGATGATTTATTTGCATAAAGTTTCAATCCGAACATGCGACTTAAATTTTAGGCAGTTTCCTTCCTTTTTTTGGTAAATATGAAACTTAAATAAAAATCCTGACGCGTTTTTTTGGTTCACACTGTGCTTAACTTGTGGCGAATGTTGTGGTAATTGAGAAATATCGAAAATACCATGTATCAAAATTTGTGTTGTCACCTAAAATTTCATTTTATTTTAGCTTGAGCATAGAGATACATCTCATCATTAAATAAACCGTGTGATTAATTCGATTCATTTGTCAATAATCATTTACTCTTCATTAGAGCAATACCCGCGCAAAAGCTTGTGTGTATCCTCAAAGAGACTGATTCTTTGTAGAACTCTGACTCTGAAAACAGACTGTACAAACATCTTGTCAAAGATGTTTGTTAAGACATTAAGTGAAGTTTATTCTGTGACGGTAACACAGATAAGTATTATTAAGTGATGGTAACACAGATAAGTATTATTAAGTGATGGTAACACAGATTAATACCTAGTCTTAACTAGGAGATGTCTTTGACATCCTCATATATTTAGCTATTTAAATTTAGTCTAAGTAAACACTAGTCTTAAAGTTTCTTTTAAAAGAAAAGGGATGTTAATAATACTTGATCAGCATTACTGTATAATCTGTTACTCAGATGTAATCGATATCAACCAGAAGTGAGACTCGCTTTTACCTACACTACACTTTTAATGGCAGCTCGTGTTTGTTGTCTCTCATGTGTATTTTCCTCTGAAAGCCCGTGTAAAAGCGGACATAAAAACGCCAATATTTAAACATGATTTTGTCATTTCAAAAAGGCACTGAATTTATTTGTGTCACACAATTTTTGGGATAACAAGAATTCGCAAACAGCGCAATAAAGTTGTTATAACCATGATATATTTTAATTGCAAGATGACTTTTAACACATATTTTGAAATGTATTATGGCATATATGCATATATCAATCTTTGTTTATCTGAATAGCAAATAGACATAATAATTCTGAATGCCATTATAAACGAGACATGTGCTTCAATTACAGTCATTGGAGCTGACTACATATAAACGATGTTGTTTATAGACTGTACCTACTGGTGCATGTATTTAACCAAATATACAGCATGGATAATGATGACGAAATAACCATGCAATATGTGAATGTTACGGCCGAATTTAGTTTATTATAAATTCATTGCAACTGTATGGTGCTGCCACTAAATAGTGTAGTTTGTTGAAGACGCGTAGCGAGTGGCTTACGAGCATGCGCGTTAAGCACTTGCCAGAAGCCAGTCAGGCAGGTACACGCGACAACCGCAAATCACGTATCAGTGTGCTCGACATGTTCTTTATTAAGACAACGATATTTCCATAGACACCCAGACATCTCAGCGATGTAAGTAACACATATAATAGTTAATACTTTAGTTTGTGGTAAATTATTATAACGGTTTGTTTGCTACGCATGTAACACTTGGTATAGCGTAATGTTTAACGCTTGGCGTATTTTTCTTTGTAATTTCAGTTAAAACCACACAACCACAGCCATGTACAGTAGAGAATAAAGAACAAATGTAAATAAGACTATGTGTGCGTATTTCTTGCTGAAACAGTTTTAAATCCACAACACTCAACGGCAGACAACGTAGCCGGACAGTTACAATAAACTTCAAGGAAACTTCTATCTAGCCCAGTAACACATCAACTCTCTGTCCGATCAACAACTCACCGTTAAGAAATTTAAGTAGGTATGTAGGAGACATGGGCAGATCCACGATTTAAAGAGGGGGCTGCAAACAACGAGGTTGTGAGGCTTGTGACGGAGTTCGGGGGACCTACTCTCGAAAATGGTTCATGAAACAGAGTAGATACAATTTCCCATGTTTCTGACAATTTGTTGCAAAATATCACGCCTATTTTTGAAGGTAAACGCATTATAAAAGGAAACGTTTGCTTGGCAAAAATGACGGGAGCACCGGCATTACCAATCATTGAATCTGCACATGTGAGATGCATGTACGTGAGAATTAAGTTAGATCTGCATAGATTATTGCATAATAAGACTATAATTGAAATATGATGCTGAGCAGCAATAATGATGATAAATGACATGCTGAAAAGACAATTACACACTCCAAAGAACTCAAACAATATAATGCATGTAAACAACGCGTGTACTAGGACAACCGACAATATGGAATGGCAGGAACATTATTACAACAAAAGTTCACCTGTCACCTGTCTGTAACAACTTCCGCAACAGCAATACAAACAGTATAATCCCAATAAGACAATTGTGACGAGACCTAATGATCAGACAAGTCATGAAGATATTCACATTTTTATCTTCCTCATAGTCATTCCCACCTAACCCACCCCTCTCACACATCCCATCTTCATCCACACATAATCCCCCAAACTTACCTATCATCAGTCTGATACCCCGTACAGACTGCAAAATTGATATGGTATCAAACTGGTGCGCGCCCAATCGTAGCGTACGGCCTACAGACACAAAATACCGAAGTGGGCTAAGTTGGCACGGATTGACTGTGCATGCACAATTTAGCCTGTTACGTCACTCGACAGACAGCTATGGTACTTTTATGTGACCTAAATAAGGCCATGCGCATGCGTATTGTGAAATCTGAAGCGCGCCTGGCCCCACATTGCATACAGACACGTTCAAAGCGGGCCTGGCCCTCCTTAATTTGCGGGGCCAAATTGGTGCGGGCCAACGCGTATTTGGAGCGGGATAGCGTGTACACACTGCAAAAATTTTATGCGCGTCTGGCGCGCACCAGTTCGATGCCATATCAAATTTGTAGTTTGTACGGGGTATGATTGACGTGCAGCAGCCTGTCAGTTAGTCGATCTAATCCATACCCCAGAATTTTTCCTCAAGCGGTATTTTAAGCCACGTCTCCACTCCATACAGATCCTAACACCAATCACTATGCTACAAATTCTCAACCATTTTCATCTTCTTCATGCATGGCTATAAATATGCTAACATGCTTTCCCAGAGTGCTCAATCATCTAGTTAAAGCCCATTAGTCTGTCAGCTGATGGAAAGTGCTGACGTATTGAGAGACATTTTTCGCCGTCGATGAACCAACTGTTTTGCTTGGCCACAATCTCCTTCTCCAGTACCATGCGCATCTGCGTGAGCCGCCGGAGCGATTCCTCGACACTGTGCAGCTTTTCCACAAGGGCACTGATTGATTCACTGATGCTTGATACCTCTCCCATGGTTCTGCAGCAGACATGACATTAGAATCACACAGTATGATTGACAGGTTTCTTATTATTTGTCAGATCTTGGTCCAAAATTCAATTCACATAGTTAATAATAAAGCAGGAAAACGTCCATAGTGGTTTCACTAACTGTGGCAGCAATTAGCTATTTGATTTCAAACTGAGCTGACTATGATTACAGGATTAATGAGTGATTCCAATAAAATGTGCAGCCTTTAATGTGTTTAATGCGCAGCCAAAAACTGTGTCGTCATTGGTTACCCTACGTGAAGAGTGATAAGCGCGATGATAGACGTATAATATCAGTATAAATACACGTGAGTCATTTGAGCTATTTTTAGACCTAAGTGTATAAGTTTTGTGGAATTTATAGACAAACCCTGAAGAATGGCATATGTCATACTTGCTCAGCCGCCAGAGGGCACCAGTCAAAACATTTCAATAGGCACTACAGTATATTAGAAAATCTTATGCAACTCATGTAGTACACATAGATCTGCAAAGTTTCACAATTATACCCAAACGTGCACAATGTGCCCAACTTGTTGCTTATGATCTGCATTTAACATGGCACCTGGTTTATAAAGTGCAAGACAATAATTTCAATTACCAGGTGGCAGCACATGCTCAGTCACTATTGCTCAAGGGGTCGTTGTCGTATCAGGTACTACAGATATGTACCCGAGGTACATATATATGTATACACAAAGTGTACCAGACTTGTACTACAGAAGTGTACCCTAACCCTAAACATACCTCATATAAAAATATAAACATAATACTAAACAACCTAAAACTACCTCGGGTACATATCTGTAGTACCTGATACGACAACGACCCCATCTGCGTCACTATTCTGGTATAAACACTTGTTTCCATCCCTCAAACTGCCATCGGTCGTTTCCGGTTTGCAGGTTAAACTCCGTTATATATAACTGTATTATATTTTAAAATAATGTTTTGAGTTCTTAGATGCCGTATTCATCTTTGGTGTGGTTTGCATGTATTGCACTTTTGTATTAAATACATATGACTGGGCCATATCCATATTGTTTCCATCACCCACACCGCCCTTGCCCGTAAAAGACGTATTCCAAGCTCTCTGTTCACCGTTTCGAATCGAATAGATAACGTACGTGTAATGGTGGCCATTTAGTAGGTCTCAGGGGAGAGATAGTGAATATAGAAATAAGTTGTGGATATAGAAATCAGTTAACCCTAACCCTAATCCTAACCCTAATCCTAACCCTAATCCTAACCCTATCCCTAATTCTAAAATAAAACAAAATTAGCCAAAAATAACAAACAATAAAATAAATAAAAGACAAAATTAGCCAATCAGAGCCGTTTTTGTTAGCGCTTAACGCGCCCTCTAGCGGATCACTATATCTCTCCCCTGTGCAAAATTTGGGTGGATATATGTTTCCATGCCATCGAATGTTCGCGTGACGTCAGTGTACGTCACGCACGAACTCGGCTATCTCCGAAGTAAAGTTGAATGCATACAGCCTAGCTGCTGATGGCTACGTCACGCACATAACCTGATGCAAAAACCTTAACCCTAACCCTAACCCTAACCCTAACCCTAACCCTAATTAAATTTAATTAACACTAATACTAACACTAACACTAACACAAAATAGTTAAATGGATAAAGATAGAAAAATAGAAAAATAAAAATAATAAACAGATGGGATTCGAACCCACCACCTCAAGAAGAAACTTCCGGCGCCATACGCGCTGCGCTATTTTGGTTTGCTCGAATGATGTATTATGGATGTGCCCTATATGCATACATGGATGGGCGTCCGTGATTGGTCTATGGTGGTGGCTAGCCACTGACGTCACACTGACGTACACTGACATCACGAAAATCGTCGGTGGCATGGAAACATATATCCACCGTGCAAAATTTGTGGCCATTCTAAATGTAAGGCGCCATTTTAAAATATAATACAGTCAATATTAAACGGAGTTTAACCATAGTTTAACCTGCACACAGGAAACGACCGAGGGCGGTTTGAGGGATGGAAACCAGTGTTTACCCACTATTCTGGGGTTATGCACAGTTACATTGTTGAACAAATTGTCTACAATCGGTACAAATTTTCTCTGTGAATTTATAATGATCTCCAAAAATGGCTCCCGCAAGTGAAAATACTTGGAAATCCACAAATCTGACGAAAATTCTCATTCTTGAGTACATTGATGGATGGCTATGGTGTGTTAGATGCATCTATTCTCCGAGACACCTTCATAATCACATTACAACAGCAGGAGTGTCAGTGGTGGATTCAGCGAGAATGTCCCTTACTCAAAATCCATTGATCTAAAGCAACTGTCCATTATAATTCAACTAATAAACGATTGGTAATTAAAGGAGCAAGGCTGAATATTTTCCACATTTGGCAGATGTCGTGAAAAAAATTCCAACCGTAAAACCTCACCAACTCCTTGTCACTGCAAGTTGATAGCACAATTGTTGAGAGGGGGTTAGGCCTCTAGAAGGTTGTGCACACTAACCTATGAAAAATGATGCACTCTGGTACAAGAAACAATCTTATGATAAAAATAATTCATGCTGGAGCTCATAGGGTCTATGTCCTCCAGGGTACTGCCGGAACGTACCCTGGTAACTATCTGATATGGTTAGCGTTAGGGTTAGGGTTAGGGAGTAGGTAGAGGCGACTCCCTATAGACTCGTTAGTGGAGTAGGCGAGGTACGGTCCGGCATATTAGATAGTACCAGGGTACGTTCCGGTATACCGGACCATACCCAGGGTATGTTCCGGCAGTACCCTGGGGGACATAGACCCTCTCAGCCATAGCTACTGGATGTGTACTAAAATATAATGCAGGAGCTGCATTTGGTTTCTGTCAGAAAGATGGTGCTAGAAGCAGAAAATTGCTTCAGCCTGATAGGAAGCTGTGAAAGGTCCAGTACTACCATAATGATCTTGATCAAATATCAGTTGATGAGAAAATGGATTCAAAATCTCATTCTGATGATGATATCGATGAATTTAAAGAAGTGAGTAGAACATTCTGATCCATGACCAGAATAAAGTACTGTTAAATGATATATGGTCAACAGTCGAGTTTCATGAAACAGATTTTCCATTTTCAACTAATATTCAATGCAGTGTTTTTTTTAAACACAAAAGGTAAAATAATCATATGAAAAAATTAAGCAAGGGCTAAGTATGTCTTCATTTACTATTATTCCAATTCTTAGTTAAGCTCTTCCTGGTTGAAACAGCAGCCAAAATTGCTCAAAATTGGTAAAGTTTTGTGAGTACTGATAAAAATCTGCTATTATCGGTCTGGTCCATGGCAAAAAATCTAAATTTAATGCCTTAATTGGACAGTCATCACGTACTAAGTTTGCAATTAAGTGCATTTTACACTATGGTCATGCTCGCTACCTATAGTGGGCTAAATCGCGGCAATTGTCCATGCCAGGTCGTCGAGTCCGGTTATATAGTCGTGTTTGCGCAACCTTCATGGGTGCCTCCTTGTCCTTAATCGCTTGCGTCAACTCCTGGATGTTCTTCTCTTGTCTTACAGTCTCCGTGAGAACCTGGAAAGTTGTTGTTGCATCTGGATGCTCAATGCACTCCCCTTATTGGGGCTTTATTGATTCAATCACTTAGAATCCATCTTTACCACTACTTACATTACTATGGCTTGTGTCATTGTCTTGATGGCATACAATCTATGTAGTTCCCACAGTGTTTTCACTACTGTCTATTTCAGCACGTGTATAATGGGGCATATAATGAATATATTCACGGTTTTACTAAATTTATAGTTACACATAGTGTTGTCAATCGGTTGTAATTTCGTAATCGATCATCGGTTGGACCCAAGTAACCGATGATCGGTTACAATCGGTTACTCGGGGTGTTGAATGCCTGCGTGTGCGTAACGTCGTGTGCATGTACGTGTGTGCATGTATGTGCTTGTTTAGCCCTGTTTACTGCTTGTTTTGCACTGTTTACTACTGTGTGTATAATACATGTACTGATTCTCATCACTTTTCAAAGTTTTTTTTTTTTATTATTCCGATTAAATCGATTATGGATTTTCATAACCAAGCGCTTGGTTCGAGCCACTGTTCAACCGATGATCGAGTATAATCGATGATCGTGACATCACTAAGCGCTTGGTTCGAGCCACTGTTCAACCGATGATCGAGTATAATCGATGATCGTGACATCACTAGTTACACATATAGCAACATACCTGCTGCAGTTGATTAGTTAGTTCGACGATACTGGTGTGAACCTCATTGATGCGTTCTCTAAATACAACACCGACATGATCCGCCTGATTAAGTAAGTCCCGGGTGATATCGCGGAGCACGTTTTCAATCACATCGCGCAGGCGGCGAGAGGCCTGTCGCTCCTGTTCTGCGTGGGCAACATTGTCACGAGAGAAGCTGCTCCACGTTTCTGGCTCTGACTGCCTGCATGGAGACAGTTGCAAGGTAAAGACACTTGTGCTGAATGCAACTAGGTGTACAGACTCACCATACTGCTATTACAGTGCACGCACATATATGAATTGCTCTCTCACACATCTCTATTCTATGCTTATATTACTCTGAGCTCTTCTAGGTATTACATACATCACTATGTAATTAGCTAGAATTTCTTTGTTAGCAAAATACAATCCTTGAAAACCACTACAATGCAATACAAACGTTGCACATGTGCAGACACTTCTAGCATGTGGGAAAAAAACCAAATGGCTTCTAAAGGACAACACGAACATGTTTTGAAAAGCCGTTGCTCCTGGTTTGAAGCGTGCCTGTGTGCTGCTATTCGACAGTGCTCCCGACTCAACATCTATTTTCAGAGCCTCAGACTTATCGCTCCAGTCCATTTCCAACTTCTGTTTAGCACTACGATTATTTCTGCAAAAAAATCCACAATTTTTTCATAATTAATATTTCGTTTGATATGCCACAATGCCTCGTGAGAATAACGATGAGATATTTAATTAACTTATCTGCCTGAAATGATTGACGGGCAGGTCTAGCCAATCAGCATTTAAATTCTGGATAGTAAAGAGGTGGCACAAAGTCAACAATTTAACATCTATGCATAAATAACACGTAGGCACACGTAGGCCTAGCTTAAAAATAGACAATGGACAACTAAATGAACTAATCCCTGGTGGAAAATTCTCAATTAACTGTAGCCACAAGTTACCATCTTATTTTTTACTAACGGCAAGAACATCACAAGCAGATGTATAGCGACCAAACCTTGTAGCTAACAATGTGCTGTACGTACATAGCTAAACGTACCAATACCCAACTTCTGATGGCTCTTACTGCTTCGTTGTACTTCCACATCATTATTAACCATATGCGCGCTATACCAAGTATGTATTTACGTCTAAGCAAGCACTTTTGAGATTATATTAGGGAGAAATTCGAACAAGGCCATTACCGTTTCAATGCTGCACAATTTTCCTGCACCATCGCCAGACAAGTAAGATATCATTACAGTATAGTCACTGCACAGTAATGAAACTATAGTTTCTTAACGTTCAAAATGTATTTGTATGTAACTGTTTTCCAAATTGTCTGATTATAACATGAATACAGAGGCAAATACCAGTTAAGAAGTGCGCCATTTGTGAGAATACAATTGCAACATGTAACAAGTTAGGCCAAAGCTGGTAATATGATTGTCCTAATTGTGAAATTCTGAATTCTGAATTTTTTTTTCAAGCTACAAGGTTTTTCGTATCGAAGGGTGTCAGGCTCGTATGATGCGAAATAGTCGTGGAACCTGGTCAGCCTACAATAACAGATGCCTTGTGTTATGTAGAAGTATATTGCTAATTTTACACCATACCAGCTGGCTAGAAGCAACGATCTATCTCCGGACTGCTGGACACACAAACAGCTGCTAATAGACAACCGGGGTGCAACTGCACACACACCGTTGGTTTTCACACGGTTTAGTTTCGCGCTGCACACTAGCCACATGTAGTTTGCGCTATAGCTTTATTGCAAACTGGACACTATAACCACGTACATTACTGCCCATTAGCGCTGGTCGACTTTCGTGCCGTAGCATCTTAACCCCACACATTACACATCTAAAGCTATCTCTATAACGCCTCTATTATTAAATTGCCGCAATGTGCCATCAGCCCTACGTCATACCCCGTCAGCCATCCACGTGGCCGACGGGGCGTAAAGTATCTCCACCCCGACTCGCCAATGGCCATTCATTCCGTTATCACCATAGAACTGTCCATAGGCGCTAACAACGGACCCTATGCCTTCCCTGTAGCCAGCAGTGATTGGTAGAAGCATATTTGGTAGTGGCATCGCGGCTCATCTTGCAAGAGGGGGTATAAAACAGCCCACACGAGAGACACGAGGCTCTCGCTCTCACTCTCGTCTGTTTCTAAATTTACTGTGTAGCGCGCAACCTTTATTTTTACCCTGTGTGATTTGTACGTGCTTTTAGTGAGTAAATAATATACGGTGAAGTGGCAGTTGTGAACTACATCCCTCTATTCTAATTTTATTCCTGTTCTTACACACAATTACACTACAATTGTGCACCCATTTCACGGCGCACATAGCACACAGCTATAGCGCACAGTTGTCTGGCAGCAGAACTTATCCAGATGAGAGACCGGATACCAGAGAAGCGTCGCCTGAGAGGTGTTGATCCTGCCCGCTAAGCGCGAATCTTGCGCGCAGTTCCGCGGCAAGGCGCACGCAAACGCGGGAACGTCCTACGAAAGTATCACGCGCTGGCAGCTTTTGATCCGTGCGCCAAATCGAAAGGCCGGCAGCACTGATCAATTGCTGCCAGCGAACAGTCTCGAATTTTAGCGGGTCTAATTCACTAGCAAACATATGCACACACCATCGCGCAGGCCTAATAGCGATGTTTCACGTGACGTCATAGATCAGGTCACGTGTATTTGTTATGTGTTGTGGTTGCAGAAGCAAAGCGTGCTGCTTGACATTTACAGATGAATGACCACATGTTCTGATAGAAAGCGCTGTTTATGTAGTGCACGTACACGTGCGTGCTGCGTGCGTGCGTGCGTGCGTGCGGACGTACACGTGCGTGCATGCGTGCGTGCGAACTTACACGTGCGTGCGTGCGCGAGCAGTGAGAGGGTGCGAGCTTCCCTGACTGAGCCGAGCTGGCTCCGCGCTGTGTATCCTTTGCGTCAGGAAGGGGGCAGCAAGCGGCGTGATCATCGTCCTGAGCTGTGTATCCTTGCGTAGACTTCTGACCGAGCTCCGCTACACCCTACATGGTCAGCTAGCAGGGCGGACAGCCGCAGCAGCTAGAGAGCAGTGGGAGGGTGCGAGCTTCCCTGACTGAGCTGTGTTGCTTTGGAGCTGGACGCCGCAGCTTATATACAGCCGTGGGACACCACGTGGTTACAGTCATGTGACCCCACGTGTGACCTGCAGGTGTCCAGTCCAATTAAACTATAGGTCAAGTGGTGCAGAAAGGCTTTCCTTTCCAATCCGCTGCTAGCCCACGTGGCTACGAAGCCGTACGTCCTCAAGGTTGAAGTAATGCTGACGCATGTTAGCTATAGTGTATGTTGTACAGCGGGTCGAATTCGCTACACATGAACATCGCTATTGCATGAAATCACTGAAGAACTGCTCCGTCAATCACGCGAAACGGCAAAATATTACAGCTGTGCCTGTATAGCTCCAAATCCCATGAGTGTGCGCGTACACGTGCGTGCGTGCGTCCGTGTGTGTGCACGTACACGTGCGTGCGTGCGTCCGTGTGTGTGCACGTACACGTGCGTGCGTGCGTGCGTGCGTGCGTGCGTGCGCGCGTGTGCATGTGCATGTATACGTGCGTGCGCACGTACACGTGCGTGCATGAGTGTGTGCGTGCGTGTGCACGTACACGTGCGTACGTACATGTGGCGTGCGTGCGTGCGGTGTGAACTTACACGTGCGTGCATGCGTGCGTGCGTCGCGTGTGTGCACGTACACGTGCTGTGCGTGCGCGCGTGTGAAGGTACACGTTTGTGCGTGCGTGCGTGCGTGTGCAGGTACACGTGTGTGCATGTGTGCGTGCGTACGTTCGTGTGTGTGTAGGTACACGTGCGTGCGTGCGTGCATGCATGTGCACGTAGACGTGCGTGCGTGCGTGCATGAGTGTGTGTGTGCACGTACACGTGCGTGCGTGCGTGCGTGCGTACGTACACGTGCGTGCGTGCGCTTGTATCGAACAATATCACGCATCTGCTTGCTACAACCGTAATATGGATAAACAGAAAAATACAGAAAACAAGAAAATAATTAAAAAACAGACGGGATTCGATCCAACGACATTTCAGCAGTGTCGTCTCTGCTCTATGCGTTCAGCTATCGAGGCATTGGGGTTTTGTGTTATGGATGTGCCTTGATACACTGGGCGTCATTGAGGAGTTTGAGGCACGTGATTTGTATCAACCAATGGGATTTGCGAGGGCATCGTCACCGAGTAAACATCGCGTGAGTGGCATGCGCGTAGGCGTAGTCATTGAGGTAATTAGGGTTATTTCAGGTTTATTATAGTTTTTCGTGCGCTTCCAGATGCCAACAATTTTCAACGATGTTCGTATGCACCACATGCTTACGCAGCAAACGCTGTGTCAAGTCAGTCACTGTTGCCCACGAATTCAGACTAAGCGAATTCCCAGTGAATTCCCATAATGTAATTCCCTGTTTTGTATTTAATGGCCAATAGGGGGAGCGTGCCGCTGCAAATTTGAACTGACACCTGCGGTGAAAGGACGGGCCGTCCGGGGGCACCACTAGTCCAGCGACTACAATATGTATAACTTCACCACCCAATTCATATTACTTAGACCAATATCACTGCACGTTATCTTACATACCAGACATCTTAATGTTGTTTAAAACAACCAAACTAAAGATTCTGTCTGAGTTTACATGTTGTGCCACATGACATTAATATAGCAAGTTTTGTAAAGAAATGTGTGTTTGCTATGTTCTAACATGAGTGATGAGACAAGCATGCATACGGGCCAACATGCGTGCAAATATGTGCAGAAATGTCAACCCCCACTTCAGCTGTTGCAATTCGCACTGTCAACAATTGCTAATAAATGCAGATCATTTACAATAGAGGTTTTATTACTGACCAGCAGTGAAATTAGACGAACTAAAATAAAATTGGCAGTAAGGTTATTAACTTGATTGGGTTATAGATAGCATATCCTACATTTAGCCAACACAGAAACAATATCCAAGGGCGGCGTGGTTACCTCACTTAGAGGCAGGTCAATTAAGTTACCATTCATTTACATTCTTCAATGTTGATCATCATGAAATGACTGTAAATTTGTGACAATAACTACAATTAAGACATTCTAGCATTAATAAGTATATTTAACAAATCAGAACTAACCTTATTTGAATGTTGGTTTCCTGAATAGTGTTATTCAAAAGATCCTGGACATTGTTAATCATTTCTACTTCCTGAAATAATAATAATCACGAATTAAATATATGATGTATATGGGCAATTACACGAGGAGAGATATGACCCTATTTTTATCCTCCACACGAAGTGTAGCGGAGGGTATTGTTTTTGGCTTGTTTGTTGTTTGTTTGTGTGTGTGTGTGTGTGTGTGTGTGTGTGCGTGCGTGCGTGCGTGCGTGCGTGCGTGTGTGTCTGTTCACTCGATATCTTTGCAACCGGTAAAAACTTTAAGTTTGATCCACAGGTGCATCTTATGGAGCGGTAGAACCTTATTTATTCTGAGTGAGGGTCATAGGGTCATTTAACTTAAACGTATATTTCGAACACTGATCTCTATAGAGCTACACTTCGTCCGCAGGATATCGATTTATTTCACTGCGCTGTACAGTAGAATAGCATCCGCACAATGTGTGAACTGGGGGATGATTACGTCTCACGCCACAGCGCTTTAACAAGTATTCATTTTAAGTGATATTTTACCAAGGTCAACGTCATCCATTAGAAGTAGTAACCTCAGCCTATAAAATATCACAGGTGTAGTGATCGCGTGTAGAGAGGATTCGCACTTCCCGAGTGTTTTCTTCTAGTTTAGAAAATTCTTAGAAAGGATTAGAAAACAATTGTTTTCACACTAAAATTTAGTCTATACTGTGGAACTGGTCACCAGTGTATTATACCGGTGTAAAATTCACTGGTGAGTACAAGTCAAGTCAAGTCAAGTAATCTTTATTCATAGTCGCGGTATGTTTACAACGAGAAAACATAAGCCCTGATGAGCTTTTAAGACCGACCAACTAACATAGGTAGACCAATAAATAAAACAGTACATAACAATTTTAAAACATGCATACTATACAGCCATTCGAGTACATGAATAAATTTTAGGTATAATACATGGATATTTACAATTTATAGCAACAGTTACAGATCGTTGATATCTGCAAAAATTTACTAAAAGCATACTGCAGATTAAAAGATCATTTGCACATTGCACATTTGCATGCAAAACCATTCCATGTTTTGATAAACATTTTAAACTCGTTAAAACATACAGTCTGTCTGGCATTTTCTGGCAGACTGTTCCACACCTTTGCAGCCTATGTTCTAAAGCTATTTGTGCCATATGTCACAGTTCTGGTATTTGGTGTGGTTAAGACATTTTTGTATTTAAAGGAGTACGCAGATTTCCGCATGTGGATAAAATCGTTTAAATAAACTGGGCACTGTCCGTGAATAAGTTTAAAAGTCTCTGTGGCAATGTTTTGAAGACGCCCAAGGTGCAGGGAACATGTTTTATTTTTATGTAAAAGCTCCTCATATGAGCTGTCATGTTCCTGGTATACAAATTTCAATGCCCTACAATGGAGTCTTTCCAGCTTGTCTGTGTTTGCTTTTTTTACAAAAGTGCCATGTCAACGGACAAAAATTTAAATTTGACATGATAAAAGCATGATACACAGCCTTCCGTCCTTCTAATGTTAAAAACTTCCCTATACGCTTCAGAACATTAATTTGCTGTGAGGCCTTTTTGCACATTTCACCAACATGTTTGTCAAAATTTAGTAAATAATCCAACTCCACTAATTTCCACTCCTAGTAAAATGACAGATTCCTCACACGGTATACTATTGTTGGCTACATAAAATACTGGTTTCTTTTCGTAAATGTCCGTTTCCCGACACTAGAGCTTGGAATTTCTCTGGATTTGCTTCCATCTGGTTGTCGGAGAACCATTCGACTAGTGACACGCTTTCAGCTTCGAGAGTTTGTTTTAGCTGCTCGAACTCTGGATGGCAATATGAAAGGGTGTTGTCATCGGCATAATTAATGAGGCGTGTTTTGTTTACAAAATAGAATATATTATTTATAAAAATATTAAAAATTATGGGTCCCAAAATCGAACCCTGTGGTACGCCCTTTATGATATTTAGAAAAGTACTCGTACTGCTTCCGAGCTGCACACATTGCTCACGGTTTGAGAGATAGCTTCCCATTAGTCTTACAGCACCTTCCGATAAACCGTAAGCTTTGAGTTTTTCCAGGATCAGATCGTGCGGTAGACAGTCGAACGCTTTCGATAAATCCATTAAAATAGCAGCTACATAATCATTTCTATCCAATGCTGCCCGCCACTCCTCGGTGAGAGCCAACAGAGTTGATTGACAACTATACCCAGGTCGAAAAGCAGACAGCATTGGATTGAAAATGTCTTTAAAAAATACAGCCATCTGCTCAGATATGGCCCTTTCAAAAATTTTGGATATCGCTGGTAGAACACTCACCGGACGATAGTATTGTCTATCTAGCGGGTCTTTTTTTTGTATAACGTAGTGACCCTTGCCAACTTCAGTCTATCAGGAAATGCTCCCCGTTTTAGTGTTAGGTTTAAAATTCTTGTTATTGGGGAAATTACTTCATCCTAGCTTGACCATATTAATTATCTTTGGTGATACTTTGTCAATCCCCGTTGCTTTTTTCTTGCCTATTTTGTCAAGATATTTTCTGACATCCCGTTCAAAAATTTCCTGGAAGTTGAACGGGGTGTCAGGAGGTGGTATATTTTTCCGAATAGCCTTTATACTTGGATGTTCTGTGTCTACCGTACATTTACAGTTTTCTCCAATTTTCGAGGCAACATTAACGAAGTACTCATTAAAAAGATTGCATACCTCGTTTTGGTCTGAGACGGTTTCATTGTTGTGTCTCAGGTGAATTTGGTTCTGTTTAGTATTCCCCTTCTCAGAGAGAAAAGGGCGTATGGTGGACCAGAAATCATTCGATTTTGTGCCACCACCGCATCGTTTGGCAAAATATAGTAGTATTGCTTGCTTCTTCAACCTGTTTACTTTGTTTGTCTGTTTTCTATATGCTTCCCAGTTCTGCCTTGATTTGCATCTTTGGTGGTTCCTATAAAGCGCCTTTTTGTGATTTATCGCTTTACGAAGTTCGCCATTCATAAATGGTGCTTTACTTTTTCTCTGAGTTTTCTGTTTGAATGGTATGTGTTTGTCTATGACTTCACCAAGCATCAGTTCATGTGCCCAGTATACGTCATCAATGTCATCAAAGACGTAGGCCACGTGAAATGGTACTTCGCTTAGTTCTTGTTTTAGAAGTTTCTCGTCAGTTGCTTTGAAACTTCTGTACACTAGCTCTTCCTTTTTAAAACCCTGTACATTCCCTCTAAATACTGTATACAAAAGGTGATGCCAATCACTCAGTCTAGTGTCGAAAGACTTGGTACAGTACAGCTTCTCTGGTCTGTTTGTCACAATGTCGACCAATGAGGGGTTACAGTCCTGAAACATGTTGGTTTGTCTACAATATTATGCATATCGAATGTATCACATATATCAGACATGGGTTTCCCCTTTGTTGCATCACACAGGTCAAAGTTCAGATCGCCTATAATGACAACATTCTCATAGTGAATATATGCTTCGTCCAAATCTGTATAACACTCTGAAATATAAGCATTTCCCCGTTCACTTGGCGGTCTATATACAGACTTTACCAGCCATTTAGCTTTGCCTAACTTTACTTCTACACTAATATCTTCCGAGTGTTCAGATTGTAACTCGGTCCTCTGCCGAGATGGAATGTCAGATCTAATATACATAAGTATTCGACCACCATATCCTGTCCTGTCAGATATATATAATTTATATCCGTCTACCTAAAATTGGGCGTTGGGAAACGACGCATCCAGCTTGGTTTCCTGAATAGTCAAAATGTCAACTAGGTTATCATACAACGTAGCGCTATGTATTTGTATCTGACACTGTTTATGTTTATGTGCGCCATAATAACGTTCTTGTTGTGTTTCGCTCTCGTCTCTCGGAGTTCACGAAATAGTATGTCCTTGTCTCGTGATCTGTTCTCTTCATCGTTTGTTCCATTATCGCTAATCGACCCCTCGTTTATGTCGGAGATCGAGTCGGTCGTATTGTCAAAGAAGGAGTCACTGAACGGTGGTAGTGTACAGCGATCACAATACCAATCACAATCAGTAGTCGATAATAGATTGTACTCAATGTTGTTTATTTTGACACACTTGGCATGGTGCCATAGTTTACATGTACCATCACATAGAATGCCGGCTTGGTTTCGCTTCACTGGACGAAACGCGGCCATGATCCCGAGGCGCTCGCCGAGGATTGACACTTTGTGTCTTCCAATCACAGTCCACGCCGCCCCTTTATGATCAAAATTTGTGAGTACAATACCATCGGACACGGAATCGCCGATCTCAGGAACTAGGGCATTCTGCTAGGCTAGAACGGTTTCATACGATAGAGTTTGGCACAAATACGAATATAACACGCTGTTTTGCGCACAGTGCTAAGTTCTTTTCTTTCATTTTCGCATATCTATAGGCACGATAAGCCCCGCCTTATTTGTTGATTGGCATGAATGGGGCGTCAACGACGTGAGCTGACTCCTGTACCTACTGCGCGCTAACTGCAGAGCCCGTTGACTTTTCGAATGACATGAAATGCCGGCCGATGCATTTCGCATCGAGAGAGAAAAAATTTCTGCATTTGTCAATCGCTGGTCGCAAGTCAACGAGCGGGCGGTCAGTTCAGTAGAACAGGTTTCGGCGAAAAAAACGTCGCGTTGCGGGGAGCGATGCAATGTTTTACGATGTCACGCGCCTATCGTCTGTGGAGTCAGTTTATGGATATCCTGCGAACGGCATGTTTACTGTTGCTCCCTTAGTTAATGTTAGATCCATGTTTCAGGACTGTTATTTGTAGGAAGAGACACGGTACGATGATTGTGTATTCCCCCCCCCGCATTAATGTTCACTCGGTGTGGCTGTCTATAGTATGGATTTCCGACATATTGTTGCTTCTTTTTGCCGCATTAATAGATGTATTTGCATGTTAATGAGATAAGTTTCAGTAATAATTAATACATTTTTCAGTTCGGACTCGCTGAATCATAGGCGTTATAACCTCCTATATTAAATCCCCTAGGTATGAATATTTGGTGA